TAGGTTTCATATTATAGAAAATTTGGTTTAAAATCTAAACCGAAATAGAAAACGTTTACACACGGCGAAATGTGGTGTTGATTCAAACTCAACATATGAAAGCACATTTACATGCGTGGCTGTAGCTGAGTGTGCAAAGATGTTTGATACAATTGGTTGCTAAAAAGGCTGTCCGAGTTCAATCCCCATCAGACGGAGCATGAAATTTAAGATTTTTGTTTATTCTTAATTATGGAAATGTTTGGGATTAAAATTTAAACCAAACTGTTTAAAACCGCTTAAACCGAACTGCTCTCTTTAGTTTGGTCATATATGTAGTCCAACAAGTTTAAAATTAAAACCGAAATTTTTATCCGTGTGGTTAATCAAAGAAATGCATAAACAAAGAAAGTTGTAGGCTCAACCTACGAGAGTCGCGTTTTATACCTTATGTCTAGATTTTGAGGGTGTGTTCACAATTCTAAGTATGTATGCATATTTTTGTGCATCATCATCTGTAACTTTATCAGTCACACAGTGTTATCCCGACAAAATCTTTGACGGTGTTATCGGGAGGGGAACGGTACATGACGGTATGACGTTTAGTTTGGGTTAAAGTCTCATATTGACGGGGATAGGCTTTCGAGGCTTACTCCTCGTAAAAAAAGTTATTTATTTAAATCGACGAATAGCATTGTATCAACTTTTGTTAACTTCTAATTATGTGTTTTTGTACAACATACCTCTTGTGGTTACAATAATTTTAAGCTATTAGTCCGGTCAATTTAAACATTCGAGGTTACAAAAGTTCCCACCGAGTTGAAGATTGGTAGGATTGTTCAAAACACCATCATAAATGAAATCTAATAAGTGCTCGTCGATCCGATACCTGGAAAAATAGTTACTCTGGGTCAAAGGCCACCAAAAGGGTTTTTCGCGATTTTCAGAAAAAAGCGGTAAGTTTATCATAAAATTAGTTTAGACAAAAATTTTAGATCAGATATTTATCTATAAAAAATATCCAAATACTTTTTTTTTTCCTAAGAGCCACCGTTTCCGAGATATAACGATTCAAAAAGTTGGAAGAGTTGTAATCGGCATAATATGTATAAGTACAAAACGAATACTTTTCAATAATTTATTTTTTTTCCAACATAGCACAGTTTTGTTTTTTCATAAATGATCATTTCTCAACCCAATTGAAGTACATTATAACCCACGTAACTAATATTTTTTAATAGACCTACCGGGGAAACCACGTTAAAAAAATGCGCTAAGTTATTATGACGATTACATCTCTTCCAACGCTTTGAATCGTTATATCTCCGAAACGGTGGTTCTTAGGGAAAAAAAGTATTTAGACATTTTTTATAGATAAATATCTGATCTAAAATGTTTGCCTAAACTTATTTTATGATAAACTTACCGTTTTGCTGAAAATCGCAAAAACCCCGTTTTTGTGATTTTTTACCCCGAGTAACTTTTTTTCAGGTGTCGGATCGATGAGGACTTTTTTGATTTCATTTATGATGGTGTTTTGAACAATCCTACCAATTTTCAGCTGGGTGGGAATTTTGTAACTTCAGTCCTGTTTTTGGTCTGATTTGACCGGACAGTTTTATTTATATTTACCAGTATTCAGAAATGATTGTACTCAATTTGAAGTTTCAATAGTTTTCAAGTACAATACTTGTATTCAGTAAAGTTAGCCATACATTTGACATAATTTGGGATTAATATTTTAATCTGAATAAAGTGCTGCCAGCTTGTGAGATTTCTAGGCAATGAAATATTACCAACATGTGCATATTTAAAGAAAGTACTCAGTACTCTCAAAAATATCCGATCCTTAAAAGTATCGATACTACGATTACATCTCTTTCAACGTCCTTCCCAACACTAATTAAATTTGTTTCGGAATGCAATAAAATGCAAAATGTCTCAAAATTCAACATAAGAGATATGAACAGGGTGAAAGATTTAATGCTGGTGAACAAATTTAAAAATAAATAATATTGGCAATTTTTGAGCGTGATTGCAAATAGTCAGGAATGTGGGTACTTTTAACTACATACGTTTTTGTTTTTCGCTCGGTTAGTTTAACGAATTATGGTCCAACAATAGTCTTCCATCATATCCTCGCTCCAAAATGTCTGAGATTTGTTCGGCAAGTATTCCCTACTAAGCATTGGTATAACTCCAGCTTATAACGTGGGAATGCACAAATTTACCAAAAATAAAGAGGAGGAGTATTTACCTTTTCAATGACCCCCCTTCGTCATTGAAATTAAACTTTTTATTTTTGAATTAATAACACAATACTATTTTACCCTTCCGATTTATAATTTTTTTATTTCAGACTGATGACAAATTATCTTTAAATGAATATATAAAATTATCGGTTGGTGGATTATGTATTTGAATATTTGCGAAATACACTAGGCCATTTTGCTTAGTTCCCCACAGTGTTGGGAAATAATCTATAATCTATACAAAAACTGTACATTTCGACTGTAAATTGTATCGACTTTTTAATTTGCTCATATGCATGCATGCATACATAGATTCCCTTCAAGACCAATACTTTGATGGTATTCACGGGAAAGTTTATGTAGGTACATTTACATATTTTACACTTTTAACATAAATGTCAAGGCAGATATTTTAAGATACACTTGTTAACAAACAAATTTTTTAAGTTATTATGAATGGATAAAAGATACATCTTCTTTGAATTCAGTACTAAAATTTGACATTTCAAGTGCTTATCAGAACTTTATACATGTTAACTAGATTGGTCATTTATCTTAAGATTATATAATTTTAATTATCTATATATATACAAATGAAATTTCAAGCGGTTGAACCGACTTCAATTCTGTAAAAAGCACATTTTTGGGCCTTCTGTATGGAAGGTTCTTTGATTTAAAAAAATTTTAAATTTTTTGTTGTTGCGGAAAAACGAAGAAAGCTGAGACGTCACGATTTCACAATTTCATAGAGTTTTCCGTATATTGAATGTCACTAAACTACTAAACGGCTGGACCGATTTCGTTCATATTTGGAACATATTTCAGCACCTTGAAGAGAAATATTTCGACTAAAAATTTAATCGCTAGGTGGCGCTGGGGTCGGGATATTCATAAAAATGTCATTTATCTACTTGCTGATTTGGCTCATATTTAGGAAACAATCAAGCCAATTTAAAAGAAATATTTGGACTTGAAACTTACACGATAGGCAGCCCTGTGGCCGAGACATCCCCAAAAATTATTTTATGCTAAGGGAAGGATATATCTACTATATATTTGTGGAAGTATGTATGTATATATGTATGTGCCAGGTTCCAGCCTAAACGGACGGACAGGATCGAACAAAATTTTGACAGAGTATTGCCATGACACCTGGGCCTATCATAGGGTAAAAAATTGAGATTCGACAAGGGGGCCTGGCACCTCCCATAGGCGTGAAATTTTTAATCAGCCATAACTTCTATGAAAGTTGTTAACAATCATAACTTCGGAACCATAAGTCACATGAAC